AAAAAAAAAAAAAAAAAAAAAAAAAAGCTTTTAAGCTAGTTAATATGTAGAATTACATCATATCTTAACAAATAAATGAATGAATAAGTCAAAAACACTTCAAGTTAGTTTTAATAATTTTTCCTGCTTGAGATAGGTCTTGGTATATAGTTCAGGCTAGCTTTCAAATGACCACAGAGCCAATGCTGGCCTCGAACTCATGCATGGATCCTCCTGCCTCAGCCTCTTGAGTGCTGGGTCCTCTACCCTGTTTCATTCCTGTGCCTTTCTAGTAATTGGATTCCCTCCCTGGGAAGTGGTTCTCTGCCGTCTGTTCTTATCACTGCAGTAAACTCATCGCTGCCGCTGCGAGGAGAGCTCTCAAGTTGGAAGGGGGGGGGCCTTCTGCCCCCCTCGGGTATTCTGAGGGTGAGCGGGTCTGGCTTACACTCGCTGCCTCAGGCTTGTAGCTGGTATATTGGGCATTTCCTCCGAGTCCTCTGGGGTCCTCTGGTCCCAGTGGAGAGGGCTTTCTTTGGCCACGTTTTTCTCAATCATGTGGCAGTGTTCAGCAGCACAGCCCAATGAACAGGTCTGAGCTGGCGCTTCATTTGGCAGAGAGACGATGCCCTGGCTGGGCTGGGCGCAGCTGTGCCGGGCAGGTCCATGGGACCGCGCCAGGGGTGCGGCAGGTGCGTGGGTGAAGAGCCACAGCTTTGCCTCCAAGCACGGTGGGTGAGTGGGAGCCCCAGGAATGGCTCTTCCTTCTCTCAGATAACTGAGTGGGTGCGGCGCCGTACAGACAGGGTGTTTCAGCCGCTAGTGGGTAGGAGCCGCCTGCTACAGAGACGACCGGCTCGCGAGTCCTTCCACAGTGATTGCATTGGATAACTGCGTGTGAACGCCCTCTGCTGTGCTCCACGTCCTCTGGAAAGTCCCGTATTCAGGCAACAGCAGTGAGAAAAGCTGCACCACAAATTACGTTTTTCCATTTGAAGTGGCTTGCTTTGCTTTTTAGAATTCCACGATGTTAACTGTGGCTCGGGATCATTAACTGTCTCTGTTTTTTTTTTTTTTTTTTTTTTTTTATTAACTGTCTCTGAATTCTCTTGGACTACATCATTCTGTGAGTGCACATGTGTATGTGTGTACATACGTGTGCCCATGTGTTTGCATACGTGTGTTCCTGTGTGTGCGCATGCGCACACTACGGAATACTTACTCTCTGGGTATTTCTGTCCGAAGGTCAGGCCTCTTTTCATCTTGCATAATATTAAGGCTGTGTCTAAATGTCCCCCAGACCCACATGTGGTCATAGATGGGGATTTTTCAGAGGTGACGGAATCTAGAGCGTGTGACACTGGGATTCCTGGTGCAGCGCTAGGATCCAGGGCACTGGGATTAAGGTTGGGAGTGCTGCCTGCCCTAAGTAGCCCGGATAAGATTCGAGGGACAGGCGGGCCGGCCAGATAGCTCAGCGGACTAAAGCACCTGGTGGGGCGCAGCAGCCAGGGTTCCATCCCCAGCCCGGCCTGCTGGCTTCATCCCCGGGGCGTGCTGAGACAGCGACTGAGACTGGGCGTGCTGGTGAGCACCTGCAATCCCAGCACTGGGAAGGCTGAAAACAAGAGAATCACTATAAGTCCGATCTAAGTAGTAAGATCCTGTAGACTCTGTCCTAAATAAAAACAAAACTAAACTAAACAAAAAACAAAAAGATCTGAGAGACAGGAAGGGCTGTGGTCGCCCTTGTTGCTTTGCTACCTTCTGTGGTGCCCCCTGCCTTGGAGCCAGCCGATGGTGGGTGGAAACCACGGCAAACTGTGAGCTAAGGAAACCGCTGTCTCTTAATTTTGCTTCAGGAATGAGAGAAAGTGGGAATGGAAGAAAATTTGAGATAACTGGCCTTCAAGGCACAATACCAATAGAAATCCCAATTTCTTTGTGGAAAAAACTCAATTGTTGAATGTACATGCAGATATTGTGGATGCTTCATAATCCAAGTGTCCTTAATTTGAATAAATATTATAATTAGAATGGAGTGTGGACCATAAAAATACCTCCCAAATGTCTAAACTACTTTTACTGAAAGGTAATAAATCACGATTAGTTAAGTAATGGTGCAGCTTGCTTTCGCTTCCTCCACCCGTGCTTGGAGAGGGCTTCTTTCCAACCATAATAATTATGACACCCCCGTCACAGTTTGTGAATATTACCTCATTTATTCCATGCAAGCAATCCTTGTCACCCAGCATGCAGTGGGAGACCCTTTTATGGCTCTGTCTTCCACACAGGAATTCTGTGTCATGTGGGGCGGCCTGGGGCCCTATTTAGCCAGCTTTGCTGAACCAAGTGCCAGGGGACCTCATTTGGAGCCTAAACCTGTGTCATGATCCTTGAGGGCAGCATCAGATTTACGTCCCACTGTCCCATAAACACCTCTGATGAGACTGTGAAGAAGAATTTAGCAGAACCACTGCCTTTTGATGGTTTTTCCTTATACCTCTGCGTTAGAGTGGGCCAGCTTCAGTTTTGTCCGCTTCTAGCTATTTGCGAGCAGATCACCCCTGCTTTGTAATTGTGTGCTTCGTGTATATTCAGCCAGCCTTCCCTAGCTGGATCCAAGATCATGTGCTTGTTAGGAGCAAAGGTTGATTCTTTGGCTCCCGGTGTCAAAGGTTCGCGTCTACGTTCACTTAGTCATTGGGTGTGCAAAAGAGAAGAGAAAGGTGCAGGGTCTCACATTCCTCAGGGGCCTCCCTAAGCACCTCCCTTTGGACTCTTGAGATTCCACCCTTCCCTCTAGCGGTGGTGGGGCTTTAAAACCAGGCTCTTGGGGGAACTTTCTAGCAGGGCTGATGGAAAAGGCCATCGGGCCTCCCGCCTGCTCCATTCACCAGTGATGAAGGTGATGATGGTGGTGGTGGTGGCCATGGCGGTGGTGGTGGCGGTGGTGGTAGTGTAATAGCTGTAGTAGCAGCCCACTGCATCAGCCACCGCGGAGATCATTGCTGATGTTCCTTACCATGTGCCGTGCATGTGGGTGACAGGCATTATCTAATTTGTGCATCTCATACTCTATGGGTGAGTGCCCCACTTGTTCCCGTTTTACAGATGAGAAAACAGAGTCTGACACTCAGTAATGACTTGCACCCAGCTGCTGAGGTGTGGAGCACAAGAGCTGGAGAGGATCTAACTGGTTGCAAGTTCATTTTCTTTCCTTTTTTTTTAAAAAAAATGTATTTAGAACAGGGTCTACAGGGTCTCACTACACAGATCAGACTCAGTGATTTTCCTGTTTTCAGCCTCCCAAACGCTGGAATTACAAGCATGCGTCACTGGGCCCAGCCTCAATCGCCATCTCAGGGCTCGCTGGGGGTGGGCTTGGCGTATCACACCAGGGATTGAACCCTGGCCTCTGTGCTCTGCCAAAGCAGGCGCTTTAGTCCTCTGAGCTATCTGGCCAGCCCTGTTCATTTTCTTTATACTCAGCCCCAGTATGTTTTCTTGATGCTGTTTCTCTGGTTGAAACCACTGGCGGGCTCGCTGGAGCTCAGAACCGAACCTCAGGTTCTCTAAGTTGGTAGGAATAGGCCTTGGGCTGCTGGTTGCTTCTGTAGCTTGCGAAATGTGTAGGTTTCCGGTGTGTATGTGCCCTTTGGAACACTATAATTGAGAACGGATGGGCTTGCTGTATCTCCTGGAAAACAGATCCATCAAGAATGTCTTTCAGTGCATCTGAGTCTGCAGCTAGGTGTAGGCACAGATACATCCGGGTTTCCGGTCAGGTGAGAGGTGGGGTTGGGGTCGGGGTCCAGGCGGGGATCTGTGCTTGGGGCTTTGAGTGGGCAGCCAGCGGGGGTGGGAAATAGACGCAAGATTCCCTTGGAAATTCAGCGCTGTGGTGAAAATATCCCTTTGAAGGCAGGTTTCCAGGTGTGCTGTAAACCATCCTAGGCTATAATTGAAATACAAAAGAATCTTCAAAGCATGGATCTATTTATTTGGTGATTATTGTGCTAATCTTGAAATCCTAGCGTGAATTAATGTAAAGACAACATCGGCTGCATAAAAGTACCTGTTCTAAATGATTTAGCGTGTTGTTCCAAGCTAAACTGGTTGAGGCATCCAGCGTGAGAGTGAAAATCTCACTTTCATCTATCAAATCCCAGGAAGCTGCCAAGAGCAGTAGAAGGGGCTCTGAGGCCGCTGCAGAGAGGGGAGCCTTCTTTCTCACTGTGCCATGTGGGCAGAGGGATTTGCTGCAGTCCACGTGTAATAAAATGGGACGGGATGGTGTTTTTAAAGTCTTGCATTAAAGCTCAAAATGGATGAATACGTTTTTGGTTAAAATCTGCTGCTCTATGCAAATGTTGAGTGCAGAAACTTTCGGCTAGCCGGAGGATCTTTTTTTTTTTTTTTTTTTTTTAATGTATTCAGTACAGGGTCTACAGAGTCTCATTCCGTAGATTGGACTTGTAGTGACCCGCCTGTGTTCAGCCTCCCAAGTACTGGGATTACAGGCGCGCACCACCAGCCCAGTCTCAGTGGCTGTCTCAGCACACCCCGAGGGTGTAGTAGTGGTGGTGAGCCGAACCCTGGCCGCTGTGCTGTGCTTAAGCAGGCGCTTCATTCCGCTGAGCTGTCTGGCCAGCCAGAGGTTTTGTCTTTGGAATTCAGTATAATTTTTCTGCAGCAGGTGGGAGGACCAGGGCACAGGGAGGACAGACTTTGTTTCTCAGGAAAAGGGCATCACGCTCACCCTGCACGGCCCCATCTAGCTCAGGTACGAGGTTGGATCCTCAGCTGTAGACAGCAGCCCCGGGCAGGGGTGTTGGTTGTGGAGTCTCTGTATGGAGTGGACGTGGCTTTTTCCTTTTATCCCAGAGTTAGCAAAGAGAACTGCACCTCGTGAATAGGCTGAGGAGCTTGCTGAGACCCAGGGCAGGAGAAGTGTTTTCTGTGTGGTCTCAGCATCCTGCGCTAGCCCCAATTGATGCCATTCTTATCCTCTCCTCCAGACGCACTACTTTGGCCTTTGGTTCCTCAGCAAGAGCCAGCAAGCTCGATGGGTGGAGCTAGAGAAGCCACTGAAGAAACATCTGGACAAGTTCGCTAATGAGCCCCTGCTGTTCTTCGGAGTCATGTTCTATGTGCCAAATGTGTCATGGCTTCGGCAAGAGGCCACAAGGTAGGTACAGCCCCCCTAATCCCTGTGCAGGGCCTGGATGCATACGCCTTCCAGTGGGGTGGTGATTTAGTTGTGAGAGCGCAGTGGTAGGAGGATGGGGCTGGTCGCCACTTGCTTGGTAGCTGTAAAATGTGGCCAACCCTGTTAGTTCCCTGTAGCGCTCGGGAGCCGGTGGTGCCCCCAAGCCAGCTGGAATTTGTCTCTAGCAGCCTGGACAGTGTGTTTGTTGGTGGGTAAAATAGATGTGCTAGAATTTAATATGTTTTGTCCAGCTTTTCTCCCCAAATATACCAAACTACTTCGGATTTGAGGGCTAGGAAGATAACTCAAGATGAGAGTAAACTGAGAAATGGTGGCAAGGGCAAGAGCTTGGATTGCCCCAGGCTGGAGGGGGTGAGTGGGGACGAATGTGGAGGAGAGGCCAGGTCCTGTCCCCCGGGTTGTGCCCTGTGCTACCCACCTGCTCTCTTCCCGCACCTCTGTAGGGTGAGAACCTGTGAAGTTCTGATAGCTTCTGACTCACCCAGTGAGACAGGGTTTTTTGTGGATGTCCTCGCGATTTGCCTATTGGCGAGAGTTTTCCATGAAGATGTCCAAAGATCCTCCCCGTCGAGTGGATATTTCTGTCAGGGAAGGGAATTGCACAAGTGCTCCGCTTTCGTGTCCTGGGGGGTCCCGGCTTCCAGATGCCACGTGCAGGAGGAGGTACCCAGCAGCATTCTGCGTGACTTTTCTTTGTATTGTCTTAAAGGTTTTAAATTTCTGGAATGAAAGTGCAGTTGAGAGTCTCACGCATGTCTGGTAGACTCTGTTTTCTTTTCCTTTTTTTTTTTTTTTTTTAAAAATTTTTTTTTTTTTTTATTTTAAAGAGATTAGAAAAATAATAATACAGACTTCAACCTAAGATGATAGGAAAGTAACAACGATTGTTATATTGAATATTGTTGTCTTCAAAGTAGCTGTTCAGATTACCAGATAAAGGCATGCAAAACTGATCAAACACTTAGGCGTGAATTTTCCCTTTCCATAAACCAATTGAAATTAGTGGTACAGTTATCTTAGCTGTGTGTGTGTGTGTGTGTGTGTGTGTGTGTGTGTGTGTGTTTCCCTTCCTTTCCCTCAACCCAATTCTTTCCTTCTGAGCAGTTTCTTTCATTTTTCACAGTATTTACTGTACCTTTCCGATTTTATTTATTTTTCTAGTTTCTTATGCAGAGACTGTACAGTGTTTACACGTGGGGGTCTGATTTCTTTCACTTACGAGTATGGTCTCTAGTTGTATGCATTCACCTCTGAAAGCCTGGAGTTTTGTCCATCCCTCAATTCATGGGTACTAGGGTTGTTTCCAGGATTTAACTATCACAAATTGCACTGCTGTAAACAGGGGTGCACATATATCCTGTGGCATGTTTTCAACTCCTCTGGAAAAAATACCCAAGAGGGGAGTAGGTGGGTCAAATAGCACCTCTATCCTAGTTTTTTGAGGATTAGCCACACTGATTTCCACAGCCTCTTTCTTTCTCTCTTGTTTTAAATCAAAAGCCATTATTGAGTAGATGACATATCTAAAGTAGACACCAGGAGCTCGAGCTAGCCACTCTGGAAGTCGAGAACTCGGCTCACCTCACGGCAGTCATCAGAAGCCCTCTAGTGCGGGCTGTCCTGCCTGCTTTCACATGGTCTCAATTATTTAAGTTTTTCCCATGAGGAAAAAAAAATATGAAGCCCTTCTGCCGGCTTTTGAATCCACCTTAGGTACTTTACACAGGGCTTGAAGCCCAGCTTTAGGATAACAGAGTTAAGTGCTTGCTGAGTCTTAGTTTTGGGGCAATTAAATGCGAGACACCAGAGACACGGGGGAGGGCAGACTATGCGTCGGCGCATACTGTAGACAGTCTGCAAGCCACGTGCCGCATTGCTTGTTACCCGACAGGCTCACTCCGAGCTGCCCTGCCGAGGGAGGCAGCGGGAATGGTGAGCGACCCAGCACTGTGCTTCATGCACTTCGAGCTGAGTGAGCTTGGTGAAGCGCGGCCTGCAGGGCCCAGGAGCCGCCTCTAGGTGTCTGAAGGTCCCTTTGTGAGACTGTATCGTGGTGTGGGGTTTTGCAAGAGAAACAATGCACTACAGGGTACGTTGTGTAAGATGATTTTATAGTCAATCGCCTGAAGAATCATATACAAAGAGCACAGAAGACCTGCCCACACACTGAAGAGCAAAGAATCCAGCCAGGATTCTTTTTCACAATAATGGCCTGCACGAGTCCAGCTGAAGACCCAGAGCCCATCACAGTGCCTCCCACGAGTCCAGCTGGAGGCCTAGAGCCACGACCATGTCTCATGCTGGCCTGTTTCATGGATCTGTGCTGGAAAGGCCCAAAGGCCAGTGCTGGAAACTAGAAAATCTGTGCCAGCGGGATGAAGGATCTATGCTAGCAGGCTGAGGGGTCTGCACTGGAACTGGGAAGCAACGCTCAACGAGAGGACTGGAGCTCCCCAAGATGAACAGCAGCGATAGTGAGGTCCTGAGCTCCTCCTCTGGCGCTAACAACCAAGTTCACCAGGAAAACCAGCATGGCAGCATCCTCCAGCAAGATAGCTCAAGAAAACCAGCAGATTCCAACAGCTCCTATAGCCTCCAGCAGCTTCTCCAGTTCTGCCTCTTAGGCTGCTGGCAACGTTCCTCAGGCAGGCCTCCCACGCCCAGCACCAGGCTGGTTCATTTCATATGGGCGACCCAAGTTGACCGCCGGTTGGCAGTCCACCACCGCGGGGGAATACTGTGCTAACTCCTGAGCACAAAATGAGGGACCTCAGAGATGGAAGTTAAAGGGCTTGAGAGCCCGGCTATTTGGCTCAGCTTAAGAAAATAGTTTCTAATAAGTGTGACCATGTAAAAGTGGAACAGGACCCGTCAAGGGGTGAGGTCGCGGGGAGCGTGATGGCTCGGATTGCGGGTCTCTGCAGTGTGTTGTAGAGGGCTCTGCTACATTGGGGTGGTTGGTGCAGTGCAGCAGTCATTCAGGAACCAGAGGTCTGCTGTGCCGTCACAGCCTGGGGCATTTATTACAAATGTGGATCCTAGAGTTTTACCCAAACTTTGAATTAGAATGACTAAGGTCAAAACCGGGATTCATCTGGTACTTCTGGCCCTTGTCCAAACTTGGAAATCAGTGGACTCTTGTTTATAGTTTTAGATTTTCTGGATAAATATGCTTACGGCTGCATTATCTGACTGTCAATATTTGCATTCATAAACGGACACAAAAAGTGTTTCGATCTCCCAGTCTGAGGTATAGAGTTGAAAGTTTTATTAGGAAGAGAAGACTTCTTGCCTTTTGCTTTAGACTTTCTGTTGCTGAGCCTGGTACATTGATGATAAAAATTAATAAGGAAAGAAATGCCTTCTAATACAGTATTTGAAGCAGACTCTTGCTGTCCTTTGAAAAGAAGAAAAAATAAAAACAGTATAATTTTTTTTTTTTTTTTTTTTTTGTACTGGGAATTGAACTGAGGTCCTTGCATTTGCCAGGCGGGTGCTGTGCCACTGAGCTATAAATACCCCCAGCCATAAGAAAAATGTTTAAGCTTTGGAAGATAGTTGTAGACTTGAACACTGGAACTGAAATGTCCATTTCAGGTGTAACCTGCTTTTTGATTTTTAAAGTTAGGAACTGAGTTAGTAGGAGGAGTGTGTGTGTGTGTGTGTGTGTGTGTGTATGTGTGTATACTGGAAAAATGTTTGCTGCCCCTGTGGGGCCCTAAGGGGAGGGCACACAGGCAGGCAGAGAAGAAATATGAATAAAGAATGTTGCAGGTAAGTAATGAAGGTTGAAGCAGGAGAAAGGAAAAAGAAGAGACCTGTAGCTTGTGAAGGCTGCCGAGGGAGGGTGGCAGGGTCTGGCTGGTTCTAACAGAATTGAACTTGCAGATGCTGAGGCTTTCTGGGGCTGGTGCGGAGATGCCCACATGTGCTGAAGCCCTCAGGAAGGGTGCTGCTCTCCACAGTCAGCAAGAGCCTCTGTGCTTCCGAGGCTTCCTGGAGGGTTTCAGCAGCCTCGGAGGTTCCGGCAGATTATTGAAACTACCTTCCAGCGAGTAGTAGCCCCGGAGAAGCCGTGGGCGGGGCAGGTTCGGCAGAATGTTCTAGGGCCCTGGCCTGCATCAGGAGTAGCCGCATGGGTTCCTGGCCTCTGTCCGCCATTACCAGGATCAGGGATGGAGGCTGGCTTTGGCATCTCCCAGAGCACCTGGGGTCCACAGGCTCTGACACCAAACAGTTAGTCTTTGTGATGCTGCACAGGGAAAGATATTTGCATAGATTAGAAGTAGAAATCTGTCTTTCATTTGCTGGCAACTGGTGGAGGAGGTTACCATCTGTGCTTAAGAAATAAGCCTTTGTCTGGAGCCAACCAAACTTGTTTTTAGCCAACACGTTTGCCTTGGTTTGGCTGCTTCCGTAAGAGAGGGAGGTAGGTTCTATAGCAGTAGTCGTGAATAAGGACGAAGAGTCCAGCATTGGCGTGGGCATTTGGGGCTTGTGCTGTGGCTGCAAACCCTGAGGATCTGTCCCCGTAAGAGGAAGATGTACTTAAAAGGTGTTCATTTTACTTCTTGCCCCCAGATAGCCCCAGCTGGGCTGGAAACGCACAGGTTACTATAGTGTGCCGAGCCCTGCAGAGCTTTGAGAAGCTGAGATGAATTAGAAGCTGCGAAGCGTTGCTTTTTCAACATTCACTCGGCATTCTGCCTTTCCCCGGACATGCCTGCTCAGGAGCAAGTATCTCCACAGTACAGGAAGCTGCTAAAAGACAAGGGCGCTGCTGGAGAAAGAAAAGGGACAGTTCTGGGTTAAGGCGACCACCAAAGGACAAGGCAAAAGGTAGTAAGAGTTGAGTGACCTTAGGAAGAGTACAAATAGCAGGGGAAAATTCCGATGCTATTCCAGGGGTGGGAAGAAAAGGACATGGTAGGAGACGGGTGGGCGATGAGTCACGAACC